CTGTGTGTTTTAAGGTTATGGAATTTTGGTTGGCAATTGTGATTTTATTTCAAGTGTGCATCTCTCTTCTTCCAATCATTTGTATCCTCTTGGAAAATCATAAACTATGGTAGATTTTGGTCCTGAATCACAGCCTGATTAGATGAACATAAGATGCTTTTAGAGTATGGATCACTTATTATTAGAATCATTGGAAATCACTGCAAACGAGTCTAGTTTTGTTTCTTATAAGTAACTTCAAGTTAGAATCGTTTGCAAATGATTTGTAAAAAATAACCTATATAATAGATCCAAGACACATACATATTAGAATAATTTAAAGAAGTTTTAGCAGCCACAATGCTCTTCTCTAGGATTGTGTGTGATGCAACCTCAATCCAAGGTGCAACTGACAGCGTGGAAAATTTTCCACTTTTAGATATTCTGGAAGGTGGTTTGAAGTTACTTCACTTAAACGTGGATTTACTGGACAAGGTTTGGAACAACTACTACTGCACCTAGGTAAATGCAAAGGGCATTTATTGTCGTGAATTGTGACTTCTAATATTGATATCTTGCGAGCATGATATGGAGAGGCATTGTGTTGGGAGAACTATTGGGTCCAAATTTAATGGACTGTGCTGTTATACTGGGGAGAAGTTAGATTTTTCTGTATTGTTGGACTTAACTGCAGATCCAAAATGTTTAGCACGACCGTCAATGGTTCCTGCTTGTCTAATAGAGATAGCCCTTCAAGTTGCGATCCAAGTCATTCTGAAAGCAACATCTTTCATGTTATGCTTTCACGTATCATTGCTTGTAAATAATAGGTTTTTTTAATATTTATTTTTAAATTTATAAATCTTAACCACCTATTTCTGACTGCAGAGGTATTTCAACTTATCAAATTGCAGGGTGTATATACATATGATATGGTGACACCATCCATCCAGGTTGATACCTTCTGTGTTAATGGGGGTCCTGACGGGATATATTAGTGGCATAAGGGGAAAGGTTGAATGCCTTTCAGAGGAAGATTTGGGGGAAAAATGAGACAGAGCTAGTAAAGCAGGAGATGATCAAAGAGAAGTGTTACCATTTATTCCTAAGGAGCCATATGATGTGATTGCAAGTGTTACCATTTCTACAGGTACTTATGGAAACGGCTTTCAATTTATAGGATATTACGTAAAGTATTCGTGTTTATTTGTGAGAACTTTAGGTATCCATGTCACTTCCTTTTGGACCTATGCTTTCAATCATGAAGACTAGCCTCACCTGATGTTTTATAGGTGTAGAGATTTTGATTGATGGTGAGCAACTGTTCAACCACTGCCATATGTATAAACAAGCTTGTTGATTAACCTAGGGAGTAGGGGTTTTGTGTTGTGCCAGATGTATGTCACGTTAGAGTATACTAAGTCTTGTTCTCTAAATAGTGTAAGACGCATGACGAGAGACAATCGTAACTTCTGTCTCTCCAGTTTAGGGATGTCGCAATTATCTCTGAGCATTTTATTTTCAAATTGTTTCTTAAATCATTTTTGCCGTTAATGTATCAGATTTGCTCGAGAATTCCTTATCCTGGTCCTGAAAACACAGAGAGGTACAAATCTTACTTGGTGGAATTTGGACATGTGGTCCAAACAGAATCATTGGCACCCTATAAGGTCGGATAGTCGGCTAACTGCAATGATGCTAATGTTTGGAATGTGGAAGGCTTGACAAATGAATTTTCTAATCTAGAACTGAGACTTGGAGTATAACACCTTGCTAGTTTCTTTGCAGAAGAAGCTATTATTGAGCTTGTTCCATAGCGTGTTAGTTATGTGCAATTTAAACCAACCCCTTTGTTCTAATCTCAACAATTTAGCCCAGAGAGTTTAAATTGGACTGCTCCTTGTGTTTATTATATTGATCCATCATATGCGCGATGCATGGATGGTGTGGTGGAAGTATTATGGAGAATTTTTCAGTTCCTATATGATTGCTATTGAGAGAGTTGCGGAATCTGAGTTGCAGAGAGCGGATTGGCTCCTCCCTTTTTGCACAAAATGTATT